CGGCATGAGCTTGACCTGGCGCTGCAATGGGAAATCGTGATGGGTGGCCACGTAGAAGAACTGGTCCTTGACATCTTCAGGGATATAGTAGTCCTCCAAGATCTCCAGCCTCAACTGTTTCATATAAACAATACAACACTGTAAACTGCATGCAAATCCCTGCCAGGCTGCATCACAGGGTTTCTGTCGATGGTAGGGACTACTTCTTCATCGTGCTCCTCTGCTTCCTCCTCTTCCGCCTCCTGGTCGATTTGCTCCTGCTCAGCCTTGTAGGGCTCCGACTTCTCAGGAAGACTCGGATTCCACGCTGCGAGGTCCGCCAGCGCACCGGCAGGTGCCAGTGGAACACTGTGCTCAAGTGTTGACATGAATTGAAGTTCCACAAGTTTTGGCTGCAGCCTCTCCCACACAGCATTCGCCAAACTCGACACCATGTTCTCAATTGAAGATCGAGCTGAACTGTTGCTCGGCAGTGCAGCACCACCACCTAGGAATGTCTGAAAGCATTCCCCAACAGCCATCTCACATGCCGTCATCATCGGAAGTGTTTGGTTTGCTGGCGCCGGCGGAGGAAAGGCAGGTTGAACTGGATGTGTTGCTGCCAGACGTGCATCCCTTGGATGTAACGGACGAGACTTGGGCGGATCTTTCGGTTCCGGCACACCCTCTGGAGAATCAACCTCAACCACTAGCGGCTTTGGCGGCTTTGCAGCCGGCTTTTTCGGCTTTGCAGGCATGGTTTTCGTAAGAGGTGCTGGCTTTGTTTTTGCCGTTGCCCCTACTTCTTCTGATGCCAATTTTTTTGCTGGCGGTCTTGCTTTTGGTGGTGCTCCTGCTTTTGGTCCTGCCCCTGGCTTGTCTGTTGATGCTGTTGCGCTGGCTTTTGTTTTTTTTGCTGTTGATGCTTTTGGATCATTGGTCCACTCTGGAGCGGGCACTGGTGGCCTGGCAAAAGCCGGAGTAGCAGAACTGGAGGATGCAGGATCACCACCCCCTCTTGTGGCGTCATCGACATCTTTCTCCGGGATCTCAAGCGGAGCAGTTCGTGCTCTTTTGGCATCTGGCAGCACCTCAAATGCTTTGCATTGAAGACGACACACACACACACACACACACTCAATTGAGGATGTCAATTGTGACTGAAATGTTATTATTTATTCTTGAAGCTGAAGCGAAAATGTATTGTTGCTCCCAGCTGCTGCTGCTGCAGCAGTTCCTCTTGACTTCGTCTTCTGATTTCGCTTCTGAAGCTTCTGAAATGTCGTGGCAGGTAGGTCCACGGGATGTTCCTGCTTGTCCTTGACCATTCTTGTTTTCAAGTTCCTGAGTCAAAGTGGTACGCGTTGGCACTACAGGGCAGACTGCAAATCAAATCAATGCGGAATTCGAGTCCAGGCACATCTGAATGGAAGCCCAATCAGTCTGATTTGCAAATTGGTCGGTCCATGTGTTCCAAGCATTTTGCAATGCTGCCTTCCATTGATCCGACGACCAACCAATGGACGGCAGGAGATGCTTCTGCTTCCTGATGCACACTTTGGCAGAACCATGGCTTGCATTTAAATATTTACATATTACAACCTCAAAACAACATTCGAAAATCTGAAGCTGCTCAGCGACACGTGATGGCCATTGGCGAAGTCGATAATGTGCTGTTGATCGGCAGCGATGGCACTGTAATCTTCCTTTCTGTGCCTCTGGACTAAAGTGTCGAACCATGCGACGCATTCGATGCCACAGACCTGCACTGACAGCTGATATACTTACAAAAACTTGACAATTGAGTGTCACCTGGACCAATGAGTCAGTTCAGCACAGCGACTTGGAAGAGAGCCATGACCAACGCAATCATGGCACACGTCCTGTGCCATCCCGCCGAACAGCAGATCCTGACAATTGAAGGACCACATAGGAGGGTTATAATTATCCTAGTCCCTGAACCTAAAAAAACCCTCCAAGACCTTCAGCATTCAAAGACTCGAGAAGCCTGAGCAACTTGTCGGGAAAATTGAGGATGAAGTGGAGCGTCTTGAGCGCTGCGGGATGACGATACACCTCGGTCATTAGGGTGAATTCTTATTAAAATTAAAATTAGTTATTATACAACTCGATTCATGAAGCAACACCTGTTCGACCAGGCACCTGTTCCATGATATGCTGGTATAGGCCACATTCTCTGCCAACCCTTCCTCCTTCGGCCTCCCTTGGCTTCCATCCATGACTGTCACTGTCACTGCCCTCAATTGTCAATTGAGTGAAACTGAAATGAATGAAAAATGTACAAATGTCATGAAGCTTCGACACGTGCATTGACTGCTGCAAGCGAACCTCCCATTTGTTAGAAAAGTTACATTCCCTGTCCAACCTCTCCAACAAGTCTGCCATCTGAGGTGATGGACGATTTCCATGGTGGGCAACCCCATAACCAACGATCACCACTCTCTTCGGCCAAACGTAGGTTTTGCCGCCCAGGAAAACTGACCTCGAAGTGTTGGAGCAGAAAGCAGCTGCCGAAGAGCTCGGGTTGTCAATAGAGCTCACATCGTCATCAGTAGCATCAATAGCCGATTCGTGGTCTCTTGTTTCTCTCGGGGTCCTTCCACTTGCGTCCCCAATCGTCCGAGTCGTCTTCTTCTTTGCCTCGCCCCAAGTCACCGGAACTTTTCGTTGAGGCGTCTGCTTTCTTGCTGCCGTAGTTCCCGACATCGAATTGGCTGTATACTATCCCCAAGCTTTGATTGTGCCTCGAATGAACACGGAATTGTAATGATGAAAGCTTAAGCGCCAAAAAAAGGGCTGCATCAATCTTTGCCAAAGTGCTCTCTAACGTTCTTGTTACAGGCTGACAGAATCCAGGCTTCTGGTTTCTGGATGCCGTCTCTTGCCCGTTTGAAAGATCTCCTCAAATGTTGTTGCATTGAAACAATGACATGTCAGGTAGCAAATTATTCTCAATTGGAAATTGTCTGAAATGTACTGCAGGTGTCACAAGATCACCAGCCTTTCTCGGGCAGAGCAAATAGAGCAAGCAGATTGCTTGCTGTGCTTTCCGGAGATCCTGGCCCTGCTCCTCGAGACACAATTCCTCAGGGAGATGCTGGAGGGCCACACTCGACATAGCACAACTTGAGCCAGAACTGCAGCATTAGGTTACAAGGGGCTCACAATCAATCACCAAGCAAGCTGACACACACACACACACACACTGACACACACACACACTCACTGAGCCTTCCGCGCAAATATCACTCACATGCCTTCTGAAACGACTTCACCTGGCAAAATGCAAATTTCATGCCAGCCCTGCCCCCCCCGCGGCTCCGTCAAAACATGCCAGGCAGACCACTTGAGCCAGAACTGCAGCATTAGGTTACAAGGGGCTCACAATCAATCACCAAGCAAGCTGACACACACACACACACACACACACTCACTGAGCCTTCCGCGCAAATATCACTCACATGCCTTCTGAAACGACTTCACCTGGCAAAATGCAAATTTCATGCCAGCCCTGCCCCGTCCCGGGCTCTGTCAAAACATGCCAGGCAGACCTTGCCATTGATGCTACCACAATAGTTATACTACCGCAAATCATGCTACCACAATTAGCGCTACCACAAGTGTTGCTACCACAATTGACAAATTGATGCTACCAGAACTGATGCTACCAGAATTGATGCCACTGCAAAATCGAATCAACCAAGCCAAGCAATGCCATGCTGACTACCACAGTTGCTGCTACCAGAACTGATGGTATCAGAATTGATGCCACCGCAAAATCGAATCAGATTCCACCGCAACAATCGAAGCAATCAAGCCATGCAATGCCATGCTGACTACCACCATTGACATTGATTGATGCTACCAGAATTGATGCCACTGCAGCATCGAATCAACCAATCCAAGCAATGCCATGCTGACTACCACAATTGATTGATGCTACCAGAATTGATGCCACTGCAGAATCGAATCAACCAAGCCAAGCAATGCCATGCCGACACAGTAACGGCCTCCCCAGCGTCTTGGCAAACACGAGTGTGCTCTGACAGTCATGCGGACTGGAGACTTCTTTAAATGCCACCCCCATTCGGCCAAGATGGGGTCACCCTGCTGAGTATGCGCCGGCAAATCAGGGCCTTGGTGCGGAGCGCTGAAATCCAATTGCCTTGCATACCGGCCCGCAAGAGGACAGGTCATGCTCGTCATCGAGTGCACCGGAATCGCTGCGCGACGCGCCGGTTACTGAAGACCTGTCAATGAGGCACAGCATAAGATGCCATGCGGGGACATGCCGGCAAGCAGCAGTGATCGAAGTTAATATTTCGACCGTGGTGTGGGTACGTGGCATAGTATTTATTAAGAGTAGCGAGGCCTTCCCTGCAATCTGTGTGCATTTCACCCCGCGGCGGACACACCACCTGGCTGGACAGGCGAGCAGCACACAGAGTAAATCCCCAGCGCCCGGCCAGCGACGCTGTCCCGCACGGATCAAGGACCCATTGCTCACGTGATCCGAGCCCGACTGGAGCGGTCTCTAAGACCACTCTGAGCTGGGGCGTGCAGGATGGGTAGGGCGAGTCGAACCAAGCCAAGCAAGCCAAGCAAGCCAAGCAAGCCAACCAAGCAACCAAGCCAACCAAGCAGTGGCACGTGACAAAGGACCACGTTTCAGCTTCCAACACATCCGGCTTGGACAGAAGCGAACACCATCGCTCAATACATCCGGCTTTGACAAATGCAAAAATGTTTGGCAAAAAAGGGTTTCCTCACGCTGGCTTCCCAGTGTGCTTTAAAATGTTTTGGTCAACGGCCGTGCCCCCGGCACTGAAATTCCTAATAAAATACATAAATAAGCTAAGACTACAACAGCTTGAAACCTTAAATCGGTATATTGAACTGCACTATTGAGGAAATTGGTTTTGGCCTTCAAACCCCCCTGATCCAGCCCCCAAGGATCCAACCCTCAAAACGAGTGTGTGGATTTTGCGAGGCTGAACTCGATGATTAATGATCGATTCATCGAGTTTGATGAGCGAATCCACCGATTCAACGAACAGCGCGCTGGATCTCTATCCATGCAGCTTGCTGATACGATTCGCCATCTCAAGCACTACCCGGATGCGATACAGCAAATTCAGATCAACATCTCGAATGCTGAGGCGCGTATCGCTGATCTCGAACAGAACGCATCTCACCGAGTTGAGGTGATTCGTTCGGAAATGAGCCGGGCTCTCTACGATCACAAGGAGAGTAACCGAGTTTTTATCGATCAGCTCACCGCGCGTATTCAGCATCTTGAGGGCGTTCACGCCCGCAGGAGTGGTTCTGATAAGTCGACTCCTTCGCGCCCGGAACGGACGCAGTTCTTCGACATCAGTGACCATGATGGGGAAATCCCACGTCCTGCGGACTTGCCACCAGTTCCTGGTGCTCTATTCCCTGGCGGACATTCTACAGCCATTCCGCGATCTTCGCTGTTAGGTCCGATTGATCATGGCTCTCCGCCGGGGTGCAATGCTGCGCCTGCTGAAAAGGCCTCAACGGTGCACTCCCAGACGAGTGGCATCAATCTCGATGAGATTTTGAGGCGTGCACAGCAACGAGTCGCTGACGAACGTCTTGGAGAAAGTCGTGGGCAAAATAATCCTGCTGAGCCCGTTCAACAGAATTATGGCCAAATGTCAGCCTCTTTTTCGGGAAGATCGCCAAATCCGCCAGTTCCTCCCGCAAATGCGTCTGGAAATGCTTCCGGTCAGGCTCCGAGCTTCAGGTCTTTCCCTGCAGATGATGATCTTGCCATTCGCAGTGGCCGTTCATTCCCTGGAGCCCGAAGCTTTGCTCCAGAGCCCAGACCGAGTCCAACGTTCCCTTGCCAGATTTCTTACGATACCCGTACTGTTCCCGCAGGAAAGGGGCCATCAAGATGGTACGATGCCATGCTTGGCCGATCCAACCTGATCGGCAATGACGCCAGTGCACCGATTCTTCACAGCGAGACTGGCACTTTCACTTTGGCCCCGAATCCGAGCGTAACTGCTACGCTCCGTCCCACTGCGGTGAACAATTCTGCGCCACCGATGCCCACTTTCAATGCCAGAACATCTGCTCCTGCTCCGAGTTCTGCACCGTCCGGCTTCGGAGGGATGCCCGCGCAAGGCGGAAGTGATGGTCCCCCCGGAGGTGACGGCCCCAACGATAACGGGGGTGCATATGGTGGTGGTTTCGGTGGACACGGATTCGGCTCTGGCTTTGGTGGCGGAGGAGGTCCGCCTGATGGTCCACCCGGTGGCCCACCTAGTGGCCCGCCCAGTGGTCCGCCTGGAGGCCCGCCTGGAGGCGATGGTCCTCCCGGAGGCGGTGGCCCGCCTGACGGTGGCCTTGATCCTCCGAGCATGCGACCTTCTGGTCGACCGAATGGAGGTGATACCTTCCAGTGCGAACGATGCACTGGCACCTTCCCGACGTCTCTCAGGCGATTGTGCATCTCTTGCCGATTTTCATGCTGCAAAGGGTGCTGCCGAGATCCACTGAGGATTTGCCTCGTGTGTCTTGAGAGACAAACCGGAAACCCGCCCGGCCCCAACGATACGGGGTTCGGTGGGCCCAAGGGCGATGGATCACTGAGCGATGCAAAGAAGGCGAAATGCAAGTCCTTCCGGCTCGATGCAGAGCCTGAGCCCGCTCAGTTGCGCCGATGGATCGTCGATATGAAAGAGCGAGTTGCCAATGCATTCGCCTACGATCCTGCCTATGCCCTCTCATGGGTTGAGATCCCAGATGGCACTCGATACGAGGATCTGCTTGAAGAGTGCAAATACGGGATGCTCGAGAACGAATGCAACTCAGCTTTCCGAGAATGCGTTCGATCCATTGCTCTGAAGAACAAGATCCAAACCGAAACCGAGCGCATGCATACGATTAACCGGCGACTCGGGAGTAGGCAAATCTTGTGGCTATTGTACGATTTCCTCCGGCCGCACGTCACTGGCGATTCGACCTTTAAGCTTGTCGATCTCATGAAGACCACCATTGATCGGTTCACTCATGGATCTGAGCAAGAGAGGCTTGAAGCGTTCTCCAACAGATGGGATCACGTTCTTGCCGGCATTTCTGTCGATCGCCCAGAAGATCCTGTCCTCTGCGCTCTGTTCTATGAGCAGGTTCGGGAGTTTAAGTGTCTCGAGCTCGATATGCAATTGTGGGACAGAGATGTGTCTGTGCGAAATTACGCATACTTGCGGACCGTCTGCGTTAACGCGATTACCACGTGGCGCCGGCGGCGCAACCAAGAGAAGATGTACACTGCCACACGATCCTCCTCTGCGCAGAGGCGATATGCTGCGCCCGCGCACGGCAGCCCACGAAGATCATACTCGAGGGGCAAGAGGGGATCGAGGTCGCCTGGGCACCGCGACTCCCGGAGAGGAAGCCCTCGCCGGAGAGGATCGCCAAGACGCACATCGCCCAGACGGTCGTCCCCGAGGCGAGGCTCGCCAAGGCGGTACTCGCAAAGCCCTGGGAGGGCAGCTCCTGCCCCTCCCCGACGATCCCCGTCACGATCACCACGGGGACGCGATCTCTGCTACGATTTCAAGAAAGGCAGATGCACGCGAGGAAGCGCCTGCAAATTCTCCCATAATCTTAAGGGCAGAAGCTCCTCGCCGAAAGGGTTCCCGCCAAGATCCCAGTCACCGATATCAAAGGAGTCTGGCATATGCTTCTATTACGCACGAGGCACCTGTACCAGAGGTGACAAGTGCCCATACAAGCATGTCAAGCCGGGTGCCGCTCCAGCTGAGAGCACCCCTGTTGCCGCTCCTGCGCCCGCTGAGCCCGCGCCGACATCACGGCGGGTTGACAGCCCGGCGCCAACGCCCTCGGATTTTTGAGAGGGGCGTGCCGCAACCCTCAGGCAATGACAGCGACCTCCTATGGAGACTTTGCGTTCGCTTGCGCTGCATCATTCGATATGGCTTGTCCGTCAGTCAAGCGGAAGACAGTATCTTTTGGGAATACTGAGACCCGCGTGATAGAATCTTCTTTCCCAGAGCCAGTCTTTGGCCCAGTGAATCGCGAGAGGAATTTGAACTATTCGTGGCCGGAAGATATCCGTGGTCTGAATAGTGCTCGCGAGAAGCGTAGGGCTCACATGAAGGCTGTGCTTTGGAGAGAGCAGGTTTTGCTCGATGACGTTGATGCCAAAACGCTAGGAAATGATGCCTGTGTCGTAGAGCTCACGCTCTCCAAGCGAAGTGCTTGCGAAGTTTTCGCTGCTGCTGTCAAGTCTGTGAAGAGGGTCCGGAGGCTTATGCTTGACTCCGGATGCGGCATAGACCTTATTGGTCTAGGTGACCTGTCCCGCGAGGAGAGGGATCTGATAGTCCAGAACGCGAAGATCAGTCTCAGAACCGCGAATGGTAAGACCAATACCAAGGGTGTGGCTCATATGCGGATCGATGGACTAGATGAGCTGGTCGAGGCGTATGTGCTAGAAAGCACGCCGAGTCTCCTGTCCCTAGGGAAACGATGCAAGGAACTCGGTTACCGATTTGTGTGGGATCCCTACTGTGACCCAGTATTTTATGATCCGAGTGGGAGACGGCTGAAAGTCGATGTTATCAATAACATTCCGTACCTCGCCCCGAGCGAAACCGAGGTAGTGGCCGGCCGTCCTGATCTCCCGCGAGTTTACCCGGCTCTTCCAGCGCCCATAATCGTACATGAGAAAGTTGTCGCGGCTGGTGAGGAGCCGATAGGTGAAATGGATGAGATTGGAGAACTCGATCTCGACATGCCTGGTGTCGAAGGCGCTCAAAAGAAGGTGCCTAACGATAAGAAAAAGGCACCTGAGCAGCCTATGCCCCAATCGCCGCCCGATGAACCTAGAGCGCGCGATTTGAGGGAGGAGGCAAAGTCGATTCGTCATTTGATGACGCATTTGCCAAAGAATCCCTATTGCGATGCCTGTCAGCGTGCAAAGATGGAGAATGTTAAATCGTTTCGCCAAGACTCCCCACGCGATAAAGGGTTTGAGAAGTTTGGCGAACATGTCACCATCGATACAATGGTATTGCACGGACTCGGCAATCACGGGAATAACGGGGAAACCGATGCTGTTGTTTTCTATGACTTGGCCACTGAATGGCTGGAGAGTGTCCCCGTTAACGGAAGAACGAATGCCGACACGCTGAGAGCGTTCCAACAGGTCTTCGGAGATCTTAAGGATGTGAACTCGTTCTCCATGGATGTCGAAAGAAGATATGCACCATCGGCAATCCGGGAGATTTATTGCGATAAAGCTCGCGAGTTCATATCGACCTGTAAGAAAGTCGGTATTTCGGTTAAGCATTCTACTCCAGGTATGCCCCGAACCAATGCCATCGCCGAGAGCAAGGTGAAACTTGTCCTTCATGGCGCAAGAGTTGCGCTACGACAGGCGGGTCTGAGCGCCAAATTCTGGCCATACGCGTGTAAGCATTTCTGCCACGCTCGAAATATAGAGCTACGAGATGCCCAGAGTGCTTATGCTCAACGATTCGATGGAGCCGAATTTGACGGTCAGATCCTCCCCTTCGGTTGCCTTGTTGACTTCTTTCCCACGCCGGCTCGAAAGCAGACCCGGCGCAGTCAAAAGGATGAAGTCGTACTCGGTGATGGTGAAGAGTATGCGTTGCCCGCCCCTGACGACGATGGGATGATTGATGTCGAGGTTGGTTTTGATGAGGATGGATTCCTCGAATGGGTTGACGATGGTGAGGATGACCAACCCGGTTCCCGTCGCGGAGCAGGCACCGATCACCGTCTCTCGTCCTATCAGCGCCCCAGCAAGTTCTCTCCTACCAGTAAGCCTGGTATCTTCCTCGGGTACCACTTTGAGAACGGGGGTAAGTGGGATGGTGATTACATTGTCGCTGACCTTGAGGATTTCAAGCGTGATGCACTGCGCGCGAGTGTCCATCAGGTCAAGAAGATTTATAGTTCTCCCAAGGAGAGATGGACGTTCCCGATGTTAGCGGTGTACGATAAACAAACCCGCTCGATGTGCATCAACGATCCAGCGATGCAATCGGCCGCTCCTCAACCGAGTGAGCGTCTGGACGCCTCCGATATGATTGATCTCGAGGACATCGATGAAATATTTGCTCTCGATGAGTCTCGTCGGATGACGGACGAAGATATTCGGCAGTCCCGTGAGGCTGAGTTACGAGCCGAATCTTCTCATGGTGGAGGCGTTGATTATTGGGAATACGATCCGTCTGCGCATCGATGGACTTACCACGTTGTGGTACCGAGGAAGGCAATGGTCCATCCTAGCAAGACTCCCGGATCCATCGGCGATGCGCCTGATCCCTGGAAGTTGAGCACAGTGCGCATTTCGAATGTCCAATATAAGGACAAGAACCCGGTAACGATCTACGAAACCGGGTATGCCTTCGGCAAAACGAGGCTGATGCAGCTCTGGACCGGCACGGTAGAATTTTATGATGATGGCTTTGCACCACCCAAGAAGAAGTTGCCTCCATACCATGGATCTGAGATCCTAGAGGGCGAGGGGGTTTTGCCATATCGTCAGAGTGTGCCGCGTGCTGAGCGTTCGTATAAAGGGTCTCGCAAACCCAACTGTATTGACTCCGAGTCCTGGAGAAGCATGAATCGCGCAGAGCGGGAAGGCTATGTTGAGGCCGAGCGTCGGGAGGCTGAATCTCGCGCTATGTCTCGTGAGGACTCCCGTGACGCAGCTGCTGCCGATATCGCTTTCGATTTGGAGTATGAGTCTGGCGCCGAGAGGCATGATAAAGACTATTGGCATCACGATGTCGCTGCTGGCACGATCACTCGATTCCATGTGGTCGAGCGCCGAGCGCGATTTAATCCTACGTCCGTCAAGGACTGCCCGGTGGATCCATCCACTTTGACCGATGTGCGAGTGACTATGGCCATGACAGATGGCACTGAATTTACGATGCAAGTTTCTTGGAGGACAGCTGACGTTCGATCATTACCCTGCAGATGGACTGGTAAGACCATTTTCGTAATTGGTTCCTCTACTAAAACGCAGGTCAAGGTTCGGACCACCCTACCGAGTAAGGATGGTACTGAGCGGCGTGTGCAGACCGCGAACGGGTACTATGGTCACGCCTTGCGTGCTAAGGAACGACCTGTCATTCCTCCAAAAGCTCGTGCTTGCATCGTGACAGATCTCGAGTTTGATCCTCCCAATGGCATGTCCGCACGACTCCAGCCCCTCAAAGGCCAGATGAGGGGGCTACTCAGTCAGGTGTTGATGTCATTAACCCTACTGACTCTGAGATCGTTGTCGACTCTGGGCAAGATGTTGCAGTGGTGCAGTTTTATACTTCTGTGCTAGCTGCTGTTGAGCTTGACTTCACAGCTGATGATGACGTTAGTGCTTCGACCCCGATTGTACTGACGTCGTGGCTGATGCTGCACCTGCGATGCCTACCCGATCTGAGTCACACTCGCATCGATCACCCGATTCTTCGGTGTTCTTCTACAGCGCCTGTGTCGCACGGCCCGTTGATCGCAAGGAACGTGCCGCTAATCCCAAGGCTAAGGCCGCTCTTGATAAGGAGTGGAATAAACTGATCAATCAGGGTTGTTGGGATTACGCATCTGTGCGTGAATGGCGCGATGTCTCCAACGAGGCTATGGCCAAAGGTGAGACTGCCCATGTCGGCAGAATCTTCGATATATGCGTTGAGAAGAATTCCGAGCTTCCGGAATCTGACCCAAATCGCAAATTCAAGGGTCGTGTCGTGTTTGAGGGTTGTCATGTTAAGGATGAAGGCAACAACTGGGCTATTTTCTCCGAGATAACTTCATGCCCAGCGACCATGGAGGCAGGTAAGGCCGCCGATGCATTTGGCCTCCTGCCTGGTCACGAGATTCAAGTTGCCGATGGGGAATCCGCATACACGCAAGCGAAGCTTGGTGGTCCTGCTACATGGGTGCGATTGCCCAAGGACCGATGGCTGCCCGAATGGCATGGCAAGTATCACGATCCTGTTGTGCGTTTGGTGCTGGCCCTGTACGGGCATCCTGATGCCGGCGGATTCTGGGAGCAGCACTGTGAGAAGGCTCTCCGATCGGTTGGCTTCGAACAATGCCCCGATTGGAAGAGCGTCTTTCGCCATCCTAAGCTTAATCTGATGCTAGTCGTCTACGTTGACGATTTCAAACTCAGTGGACCCAAGGCCAATTTGGCTAAAGGATGGGAACTCATGGCTTCAAAGATCAAATTGGAGCCTCCATCCAGCATCAAGCGTTACTTGGGGTGCGAACATGTAACGTTCTCGCACGTGGTCCCCAGCGCTTTCGATCCTCGCTCCTACTGGACGCGATTCGAGGAGCCGAAGAAAGCATTTCCCGAGCTCACTTTTGGCGATAGAAACACTAGTGTCGCGCAGGGCTCAGTTGGTCCTCGCGAAATTCGCATGATTAAGTATGACATGCGGTCATTTATGGAACAGTGTGTTTCTCGCTATGTTGAGCTCTGTGGTCCCAAGTACAAGGCTACTCTGCGTTCTGCGGATACGCCTTTCCTCGACGAGTCGCGACCGGAATTCGATACCAATCCGGATCGTCCTGCGGTGAACCGTCTCATGGGTCATCCCACAGATGCCCCGGTTCCTCCCGGAAAGGGGGTTCTGGGTGACTGCGCTGCCGCAGTCCTGATGAAAATACTGTATGGTGCTCGCATGGGGCGCTACGATCTTATTCGTCCTGTGCAGGCACTTGCCAGTCTGATCACTAAATGGGATGGTCTCTGCGATAAGAAACTCCACCGACTTGTGTGCTACATCAATTCTACCCTCGATCTCAATTTGTACGGGTGGATCGGTGATGCACCTGAGATGCTGGAGCTTGTGCTCTATTGCGACGCCGATCTTGCTGGCGATCGTACCGATTCCAAGAGCACCTCTGGTGTCTTCATGTGTCTTCTTGGACCGAGGAGCTTTATGCCTCTTAACGCGTTGTCTAAGAAACAAACGTCGGTGTCGAAGTCTACGCCTGAGGCTGAAATTGTCTCTCTCGATCACGCAGTCTATAAGCTTGGCCTTCCTGCTCTCTCCATGTGGGAGTATATGTTGGGTCGTCGTTTCCGTCTGCGGGTCATGGAAGACAATGAGGCCGCTATCCGGGTCGTTATCACTGGTCACAATCCCAACGTGCGTCACATGTCTCGTACCCAGCGTATCGATATTTCAGCCTTAAATGAGCGTTATCACGCTGGGGATTTTATGTTTGTGACTTGTCCCTCTCAGTTTGAGGCCGGTGATATCTTGACCAAGGCCTGCACTGATGCGAAAGTGGCAATCTCATGTCTATTGGTCATTTCCGAAAAGGTACTCTTATTTCCTCCGGTATGTTGTCTGCCGCTCCCGCTTTGCCTGCCCTCCCCTCTGTCTGTCCAACCAGGGGGGTACATCTTGAAACCGGTCACAGTCCCTTCAACGATTTCATCATCGAAATGTCTCGTCAAGGGGGTTTTGCGATCGATGACGTTCACCAATTTGGAGCAGCGATAAAATGTATCCATATTGGGAGCGATGGCATGATTCACATCCCTCATGCTCGAAGTATCAATCTCAGTCTCGATTCAAATGCAAAGGGGATTGATATTTCGAACATCAGGGTTCCGCCAACGCCCACAGTATGCGTTGTGACTGTTCCAATTGCTGACGTCAGCAACAAACGTGACCCAGGTGTCAAGAACAGGGGTTGGAAAGAAATGAGGGGTGACTTGAAGGAGAAAGGATGGGAAGCCAAGAAACTGCTAGGATGTGCATCTCTAGCTCGATCATCCGGTGTTCCCGTTTTCCTCGTGTTACCAAAGGGAAACCCGCTGTGGGGAAGAGAGTACATAAGACGATGGTCTGAGTCGCATGATCTTTGTCCTGTTAAGTTATGCTCTTGTTCCTCTGATCGGTGTTCGCAGCATGCATGGTTGTGCGAGATTTTCATGCCTGCCCGTTTTGGGCCGATTTTCATGTCACGCTTTGCATGTAACCATAAGAAAGCCAAGAAGGCTGATCCGAAGGAGCTTCGACATGCGTTGTGGGCTGTGCTTGATCATTTCATGAAATCTGCGGCCCTTGGCTCACAGCAATCCGCGATGCCGATTGCTTAAACAAAGACGCTAAGGCCATGATCACACACACACATTCACACCTGTACTTCTACACTTTAAGAAGACCGAAGAATGAAGCTCAAGGAACGATGATCATAGATCACCAAGGACATCCGACCACTACAGACCACCTCTACTACGACTCGAACCTTAGCCCACTTGCGCTCCCTGCTAGGACAGGTCGTAGCTGCCACGGGCCGCGAACTCCTTTGTGCCGCTGCTGCCTCCGCCGCTGACGATGGGGAAGAACAAGCAGCCGCCGACTCCGAAGAAGGCGGCTGCCAAGGCTTCGGCCTCCCGATCACCTCAACCGAAGTCGCCAGCCCGAAAGGTCGATTGCCATGAGGGTCTTCCGGCGGGTCCGATTGCACCCGCCGGAGGAAGGCCGCCTGCTCCACCGATTCCCTCGGAGCATGACGATACCCAAATGGGTACCACTGACGCACCGGTTCCGATCTTGACTCCCCGAGATGAGTCTACCGGAGGCGTCAAGGCTGAGATCCCAATGGAGATCAGAATGAAAGCCATGATGCTGAAGTTCGGTGTCCAGGAGATCCCGGAGGCTACTATCTGGCAACGACTCGGCCAGCTGACATGCAACCACGGGGCCGATGGGAAGCTCAATAAGCTTATTGAGTCGTTCATCTTCAGCATGCACCCGCTTGCGGACAAGCAAAGAAAACAGTTTCCTTCCGAGTTTATGGATCTGTTTGACCGATACAAAGTGATGTCCGCTCTGACATTCGCCCGTGTGGCGACTCTATCGGGTGATGATGAAGGTGCTCCCGAGAAGATGAGCCTGGCGATATCCCTTGTGCGTCATTGTATGCACTTCCAGGCGAACAAATTCAAGGGAATCCGTGAGGTGATGAGTTACGATACGCTCTGCCTCATGGGCGAAAGCTACATTCCATCGCCTCTTGCGAACTGGAACCGAAACCTCATGGGGTACAGTAGCTACAATGCCCACCAGCGGTGGCTGAGAACCGATACGAGTCTCTCGCACAATGATCTCATGACCCTGCCGCCTATTCAGCGATCCGCGGAGACGATCAACCAGGACGAAGCAGCGAAGCTCTTCAGGGGTTTCCTGCAGCTCCGTCCTACTCTGTCGTATCTCCCGGGGTCGTTCCTGGCGCTGAAGGCCCTCAATCGATTCCCTACGATTGATTCCCTGAAGGAGCAAGCTAAGCACCTTGAGGATGACCGAAAGGAACACGGCTACGAGTCTCCTGCCGTGGATGCCAATGGAATCGGAGAGGTGTCCGCCTTTAGCAACGAGGATGACGATGAAAACACCCCGTTGCTGCGCGGCTGGCCCTCATACATGAGGGCTCTGGCGGAGGCATTTCCCGAGCGATGTGTCAGCATTGATGACACGCTCAACTGGTCTGTTGCCGCCCCGATGGTTTATGAAGACGGTGCGCAACAGGTCACCATCAAACCCACCGACGGATGGGTGTATGTCCCAGCGATGAACTCGGACATCTACGACCCAAAGGATACGTTCCTTCATGGGACGAATCTCCGATACATCTGGTCGATTCTTGCCCATGGTGGTCTGTTTGGTGAGAATTACGAGACTGACGACCACGGAACCCAAGAACCCTGCGTATGGGTTACTGGCAGTGCCTCTGAAGCTGCCAGTAGCTACGCCTCCGGCACGTACATTGGGGCAGGATATTGGTTCCAAGTCATGGTCTGCGTTTCAAAGACCCTGGTCAACACCCACTCCCGGACCACGAAGGGGCTGGGAGGATCGAGGAAGCAGATCCGAGTCGGAACGAAGTTTCTCGAGCTGTGTGGGATTGCATTCCGCCCGTTCCGTCTCCCTGATGACCGCGAACATGGAGTGTCTACCTCCCCGCAGTACGTCATCCACGGACATCGATTTCTCAGCGAGGATGGAAAGACATCTTGCGCATGGCATCCGTGGATGGAGGCGAATCCGATTGACCCTCGCATTCTGAAGATGCTGGGAAACGTCTTCGGAACGAATTCCGTTGAGTTTGCTGATCTTCCGATCCCTGGTGGCAACACCGAGGAGTCCTCTAAGGCTACCGATGCCAAGCCTTCAGAAGGTGCCGGGTCTGCGGATCAAGCTGCGACGGGTGGTGAGGAACAGCCCGAGCGAATTACCGTTCACCCTTCCGTCCTGAAACGGAACCGATGGATGCCCGAGGGGACGGGAACGGCTGAGAATGCCACTGTCGGTGGCCGCTATGGCTTGCAATCCGAGCTTCAAGCGTCGAGCTATCGTTTTGAGGTTGCCCCCTTCTTCCAGATGAGAGCCCCTACCTTTGGGGAGAGTGGAGGTCAGGGGCTGCCGAAACCTTCGAAGCTCTTCATGATCGCCGGGGGACCATCCAAAGAGTGGGATGCCTGGTGCCTGCACTACCGACAGGCCTATAGTGGCGCGTTTGGCAATTTCGGCTTTACGCCTGCCAGGAGTGCCAAAGGCATTCTCTACGATGAAGATGACACGACAGATATCCTTGCCAAGCCCGCGTGGAGTCCCGCCGATGCCTTAGTGGCGGTTGGGATCCACGGCGTCAGGACTGTCACAACGATGGCATCTACGCTCGCATATGGGGGAGCTCCGCCAACGACGAAACCGGCGAACCCCAATCAGCGGCAGAGGTTTGTTGTCATGCATGACGGTCTGCTCTCGTTCCGATCGAAAACGAACTGGCACACCGGTGACATGAACACGCACCTGACGAATGCGCTGATCAAGTACGGATTCCAGGATCCTGACGTGCGCGTGTTTGCTGTTGAGGAACCGGACTGCTTCACGCTCGAGAAGATGATTGAGACCATCGAGCTGATGCAGAGCGAAACCAGCATCCCGAGATCTAACGTGCACATTCTCCTGCTATGGAGAGGAGCTGACCTATGGAAGTTGGATCAGGGATGGACCAAGCTCATGGGCAACATCAACGAGTCACGATGTAAATACGCCAAGACGAAGGCTCGGGACGCAATCGAAGAGCTCAATACGATTTATGGCTCGGTGTCCCTCTGTGGGCCGGCGTCACCAAGCATGGTCTTCCTTCCGACTCTTCCCGGCGCTCTCTTTGAGAAGTACCGCACGGAGATGAGGTCGATCTGGGACACGGTCAGGAGGTCGAACTTCCTTACCCTCTCGTTTGATGCAATCCTGGAGGGGCTTCCGTACCTGAAAGGATTTTCCATCATGCACGAGTCCAAGACCATCGGGGCACTGTGCACCCGAATCTGCTCAATGTTCACGCTTGCGGCTCTCGCGCGATTCCCACCGTACGATAATCCTCGGGACTTCGAGACTGCAGCCGAGAAGATGTGGGCGCGGACCCCGGTCCCAGACGATAAGCCCAAAGGCGAGAAGAAGGCTATCGTGCACTCTTCCGTCCAGGATCTCCTGGATGCGAAGGACCGCGGGGCCGATCACGGTGCCCCGCAGACCTTCGATCAAAGTCAGCTCGGCTTCGCTGATGATGAGGAAGAGATGGCCGATGATGCTGGCCCATCTGTTCCAACGGTCCCGATCAAACAAGAGACCGTCAAGCAAGAGCCGAGCACTCTGGGAGATCTCCCCGGCGTGCGGAATCCGGATCCGATCAAATTGCCGGAGACTCCCGTGCCTGGCCAGGCTATGCCTATGCCTGTTTCGCCCCCTGCTGCTCCTACTGCCGGTGACGATGACAATGAGTCCGGCAGTGACTCCAGCGATGACAAGAAGGATGGAGACGGAGACACGGCGATGTCGGAGAAAACGGAGACCGATCCTGAGTTTGATGAACTCCTCTCCGGCATGACAGATGCGTTCGAGCGCATGCCCACGCCTCGTGACGCTGAGAAGGTTGTGGCTGCCAATCGCGATGCAGCTCGCCCTCCGGCAGTGCCGTCGCTCCCGATCTCCGGCGAGAAAAGCAGACCTAAGCCGATTGGTGGTGAGGAGGCTTCCGGCCCTTCCGCCGAAGGTCGTCAGCAATACGCGCATTACTCCCGAAGCTTTGTTAGCGAAGCTGAGGCGCGTCGCGAGCAAGCCTCGCAGGTGAAGACAATGATTGCCGAAAAGGCGAAGGGCGCTACCGGTGTCGAAGGTGCCGAGCACCTCCGAATCATTGCCGAAGGACTTGCCAAAGTGATTGACCCGAACACAAACGAAGACAATGTGTTTCAGGGCGCGCTTTACCCTCCGGGTGACTATGCGCTGGACGCAGTCACTAACCGATTGGCTCAGGGCAGACGGAGGGTGGAGTCGAACAGTACCCTCATCCGGGAGATGGCAAGCGACCGATTCAGTCCTGTGCTTGTCAACCGCGATACGGGTGAAACTGTGTCGGCTATCGATGCCCGATGGACCCCTGAATTCGGAAACAGGGGGGAGTTGGAAGCCAAGGTTGGAGCGATCATTTCCAACCTTGATGCAGCGATTGCGAGTGTGGCGACACTTCCGGTGTTCCATCCGCACATCCCTTCGACGTACGGTATTGCACGAGCGCTGCTCAATACCTACCAGTCGTTGCAGATCGCTATCCGACACCGTGGCATGGGCGCTATGGCCTTCGAACAGATGATGTTCAAGCCAGAGGACCTTGAGGCTCCGACCGCCGATGATTGGCCGGACCTCATTGCGCCTTCTCCTGGAAAGGTCATTCAGTCCATGCGTGTTGCCATGGTGAACAACACCGCAGCTAGGATAACGAGAGAAGACCTTAAGCTGCCGGCTGGCTACGCCATGCAACGTCGGGTGACACAGTTCCGAAAGCCCGACGAAGACCCAGTGCAAAGCCTGATGGGTCTTACGAACGATATGAGCTATGGCAGCACTGGCCGAACTGGGGACGATCGATGATCTCAGTTTCAGCAAGCTGTTGCCATGCAAATGCGCAGCACTGCGGGATTCCTCTCGCAGGAGTTCCGGAGGCACGCTCGATCAATTGCTGCCTCCTCGTCGCGACGCAGCGACGGCTCTGGTGCTGTGAGCAGCCAGGGCGACGGAGCGTTGGAGAGCGATCAACCATCAATTGCGCCGACCGGTGACACATCGGATCGTGCTGCGACGCCTCCTCCGCCATCCGAGGATCCTCCGCCACCGCCTTCTGCGAATCAGCCTCCGGAGGCGTCTGAAGAGGCCGCAAAGGAAGGTGGCGATGACGAGGAGATGGAAGACGACTCGGCTGGACAAGAGCCCAAAGAGGATGATAAGATGGGTGACGGGGAGGAGCAGAAAGACGAGGTCCCCGGCAAGGCCCCGCCTTCTGCTGCCCGAACCACCGATAACCCTCCGGAACACGGCGTGCGTTCCAGTGGCTGCCCAAGGGGCTGTGCTCTCAGGAGCCCGCGGACCACCGATTGATGTCCGCCCAGCCAGCACCGCTGCTGACCAAGCCGCAAACGATCCGAAGAAATATAGGATCGAGGGCCCTGGGATCAAGGCGACAACGATTCATCGCCCTGATCAGATGCCCCAGAGAGGCATCGATTCCATCTCGCCGATAGTGCAGTACGAGATGAACTCCGTTCCGGTGGCGCTACCGGAATTCGTCGTCCCAGGACTCGATGTGGCTGTTGACGACTCAGTCAATGGCAGACTTGTTGCAGCGACATGTCTTCCGCCAACCGATGAACAGCGGAAATACTCGCGGCACCGATTCGCTATGTTCTCCTCGAATCAGACGATGTATCTGAACGTGGCGCTCCACAAGAAGCCCGCGCAGGGGGATCACGACTCCTTCCTCCGTCCGGAGACATACGAGGAATGCCGCGACATTCACGATGCTGGCAGGGCGTACTCTGCCCGCGAGCAGCAGTCCCGCTCTATCGGTGGCTCTACGATCACGTGCAACCGATTGTTGAACGACGATGCACAGAGCATTCCTCCCGCCAGGGTTCCCGATGAGGCCATGACCAACCTGGTGCGAAAACTGATGTTCCGCGTGGTCACGCAAACGAAAGAGTACCCCACGACCATCGATCCGGCGAAGAAATCTGATGATCGAGTGAGGGGTGTCCC